CCATATTGAACCTCAAATTAAATAAGGGTCACGTTTGTGTGAAGAATGCTGATATGAGATATAAAACACAACGCATTGTCTGTTAACAGACAATTTGTGAACGGTTCATTTGTATTTGTAAATCTGACTGTAAAAGAGTCAAGTGCCTCACCAGCTGTCAACCTCACCGCACGTCACTGCAGATTAGGCTGCCTGACTTCTGACTTCTAAGTTGGTTTCCAGAAACCTCGTGTGTGACTTCCAAAAGAGCTTTGAGAAACATATCTAGTCAATTATTAAGTGCTGTTATTTTCTTTATTAAGAAACAATACCAAAGTACTTCCCTAGTTAAAAATGCTGCTTCATGATTACAAGGCACAAAATGGTTATCCACTACTGGTGTTCTAAATTTCATCTCCAGAGCTATTTATTCTCATGAGCATTTTATTGATGCATCTGCACCCTGATTTGTTCTTATTCTTTCACAGTTTTTGCTTATCTTTAACTTAATGTTTATTACTTTACTGTGATTTTTCTTAACTGTGCAGCACTTTGTTACCCTACTTTGCTATATAAACTAGGGCTACAACTAATGATTATGTACAGTCATGCCCAAAAATATTGTCAGCCCAGCATTTCTGTCAGATAACTCACTACTTCTCCCAGAAAACTCTTCTATATTCTCATGTTTATTTCTTTTCTTTGCATTAGAACAACACAAAAAAGCCAGATCTGATCCATTCCACACAGAACTCCAAAGATGGACAGAATTATTGACACCTTTTCAAAATCATCAGAAATGGTTGTAATTCAAGCAGGTGATGCTCCTTTAATTTGTAATATTTTTGGCCATGACAGTATATTATCACTTAATATACAAATTATTTTCTCAAGTAATTATTGTCTAAAATTGAGATGTTTTCAGATGTGTTAATTTGTCTGATCCAAAGTCAGAAACCCACAGATATCCAGTTTACAGTCATAGAACATTGAGAAAACCAGAACATATTGACATTTGAGAAGCTGGGACCCTTTTTTTTACCATTTTCGCTTGAAACAGTGAACATTAAATATTTAAATGATTTTTTTTTTGCCAATTGACTAATCTACTAATTGCTGCAGGTCTAAGAGCTCTAAAATAAATCTTACTAACAGACAAGACTGGTTAGGTTTCATAATGTTTCTTTCCTTCAATCCTGATTTAACCAGCCCTTGTTAGTGGATTTAGCCTTAATGTATGGAATTCAGGCGAAGGTTAAAGATGACAAACAACATGAAAGATACATAGAAATCATGGTAGCTCTTAGCATGAATACTAAAAGGCCTTGATTGAGAACCAGAGCAAATTGCTGGATGGGGCAGTATTTTGTGTGTGTGCCTGGGAGGACACCGATTCTGACTCTCATGATTACAAGATATTATTACACACCTGATTTATAGTAACATACTCTATAAAGAAGGAGAGGTAACATCTCCATGTAGCTGGCTAGCAGTAGCATCTGAGTGATGCTGGTATTAAACACTCTTGACTGTTATGCATTAGCATGAAGACAGCTCGGGCTCTCCCTCATTTATCCTGCTGAGGCAAATGTGTATGTGACTTGATTAATAGGACTGCGGTAGGCATGATTACATGGCTGCATAGAAGCAATTAATATGTTTAACTGGGAATCTCCAGGTACAGTTGTTTAAAAAAATCTGCAACAGTAAGTTACCTTCTGCAGAGTGGAGGAGATCATCAGCATCATGCAAATAACAGGCACATGAAATGACACGTGAGTGGTTGAAGGAGGAAGAAGGGCATGAAAGACAGGAAACAAAACAGACACAGGTAGAGGACAAAAAACTTAAATGACCTGGAGACAAACTAAAACAGGAAGATGTGGATTCACAATAAAGCTGTTCATGCCATTAAACATCAACTAATCTCAGAAATGGGTTCTCCATGTGAAAAGTGCACTTGACATCCAACAGCTTTTTCCTCTTGACTTTAGAGACTTTATAATTTGCAAGGCAACTGACTAATCATCGCTAATGGGCCTCAACCAAACATAAACATTCTCAAATTACATCAAACAGCTGGAGCCAGAAGGGAATTGTACGGCTTTTAAAATGCAGAGATTTAGCATCATTTTGCAATACTCTCATTAAGCCAATGAATTCTGAAGCCTTGAATCAAAATGACATTAACATTCATATCTGGGTAACTCAGCTGTTAACCCATGGGATGTAGGTGGAAAAAAAAAATCTATAGGTATCAGACAGACAGGTGTTCAGGATGACCAGACCATGCTGCACAAGGTCACAGTTCTAGTAAGATACAGTATACAAGGTTTACTATGCTTTAAAGTTGCAGCTAATCAGTAAGCATGTTATCCTATAGGGCAGTGGTCCCCAACCTTTTTATCACTGCGGACCGGTCAACGCTTGACAATTTTACCGCGGCCCGGGTGGGGGTGGGGGTACGTAGATTGTTTATATTGTTAATATAATAATAAACGTGAATCCACTGTGTTGAAAACTCCCCATAACGCTAAATCAACGGGAGCCCTGAACTTGTTTCTCTGCAACGACACGGTCCCATCTGGGGGTAATAGGAGACGATGACACCCGAAGTGTGTTGCTTATGTTCAGTCTACTCCGTTGTTTTGTTTTGGTTGCTGTCACTGCAGAAAAACCACACAGATCACACAGATAGGATGTCGGAAATGGCAACAGGGTTTTCAGTGCTGTGGTGGCGATCTCAGGGTATTCTGTCATGACTTTAATCCAGAACACCGACAGAGTTGTTGTCTCGAACATACTTTTAAGGCCGCCGTCATTTGCGATCTCCAGCAGTTGATCTTCTTCTTGCACAGACCTGCTGGATTCACCTGGTTTGTTGACAAATGGGTTGCGGATCCATTCCTTGGCAGTTCGTGGGTCCTTTGTGGCTGGGGAGTAGCGCTCGAACTCTTTTAAAAGCAAAGACATGTGATCGTGCACCAGCTGGGAGAATGAAGGCTCTGGCTCAGTCTCACCCAAAATCCCCGCTAATGTTTGAAACATGTCCAAAATGCCTCTGTTGACGCGCCGTCCCCACAAATCCAGTTTGGCTTTAAATGCAGCTACTTTATCTGTCAACTTGAAGACAGTTGTCATTTTCCCCTGAAGTGACAGATTGAGTTCATTGAGCAGGCTGAATATGTCGCACAAGTAAGCCAGTTTTGGCGCTCAAGTGACCGAGATGTAACCGAGAGAATACGGTCATTTTTCAAAATAAAAGATCGTTCAGACTCAGATAATAAATAAAACGGAAATAATTAATGATTTCTTGTGCGGCCCGGTACCAATTGATCCACGGACCGGTACCGGTCCGCGGCCCGGGGGTTGGGGACCACTGCTATAGGGGAAGAAACTGATCTTCCATTATTACCACTACAGACAAATCCGTGTCTTCAGTGACAAAATGAAAACTGCCGTCTCCAGATGTAAAACAGATATCAGCCAATCAGAATCAGTTGTCTGCATAAAGGGCCACATGAATCTCCGTAGTAACATTTCATTCAGGAGCTTAGTGAGACCCATTTCTAGCATAATGAACCAACAAAGAAGAGAAACATTTTACTTAATGATCGCCATGTTCAATGTTGGCAGCACACTGACATGACATGGCGGCTGTTCTAAGACATTGCTTCACAAGTGGCATTTTTAGTTGCATTGTGTAAAAATATTCCAGTAATTTATTAGCCTGGACATTGAACAGTGTTTGTTCAGTCTAATAAGTTTCAAATCTAAAATATTACATTCTAATTGAACTGGCCTTCGTCTGCTGTGTTAGTCCTGAGCCTTCAGTTATTAATCAGTTATTTTTAATACCAAACAGACAATGGCTTATTGTTATTGTTATGGTTTAATTTTGATCACATCAGAAATGTCATGTGCTGAAAGAGCTCTGAGTATACCTCACAACATTTAAGAAACAGGGTGAGGACAGGCAAAGCTGAAACTGGTAAGGTAATATTAAACTGGAAAAGATCAGGGAGATTCTTTTGAAAAAGAAAATATCAACAGCTATCATCATTAATTCTTGTCTAAACCACTTTAATACAAGAAAGGTAAAAAAAAATAATAAACAGCAGTGAGCAAAGAGACAAACGACATGCTTTTGTAAGTGTAGCCCGATGGATACAGACAGGTGACAGCAAACAGATAAAAAAAAAAAAGATGATTAAATCTAAACAAAATAATGTGGAAATGATCAGCAACGCTGAATCATGACTAAAATATAAACAGAGGATTAATAATGAGTCAAAAAGCATATTCAGTGGGAAGACGACAGTGGTAGCAGCATGCTCCCCAACCAACAGGTGGAGCTAAAAACTAAATAATGGGATCAAGCTTCACCGCACAGCTGCTACTTAAAGAACCAAGGAATAAGACTCTGGTTTCTGGTTTCCAATTCATGGTTTGCAAGCACATAATGAGCCTAATAAAATGCTGTCAAATTTTAAATGACTGTGCCACTCAGATCAGAGCGCACTTTAATGTGTGAAATAGCAGATTTAATGGTGTTAAATTACTTGGGCCTCCTAGTTGGAATTCTTAAGGTGTCAAAGTCCCTCAATGGAACAACTACACAAACAAAAACAAACAGGGTCAGTGAGGTAGTTCCTGTTGTCAGTTTTACTCCTGAACAAACAAAAACACTTGGAAGAGGACACACTTTAGACTGAAATGACACTGCTGGAAGCTTTTGTGACACTGTGCAAACAGCCTCAGTACTGATTTGTGTGTTGCTGTGCAGGAGCTGAGAAACTCAGCTACATGGAGTTTTCATTAGTAATGGGATGGACAAGCCCTTTTTAGTCTAAGAGTAAGAAGTGAAGTCTTCAGGTGATGCGTTTGTGGAGACGGAGACAGAAAGCATCTGATGAAAGCTGTTTACTGTGCTATAAACAGTGCAACGTGTGCCACTTACGGACAGGCTCTGTCTTGAAGAACTCAGCGGGGCTGCTTTCACCTTCACCCTTGCCATTGATGGCTGACAACTTCACTTCGTATCTGGTCTCTGGCTTCAGGCCTTTGATGGTCACCTCACCGATGGAGCCTGTTACAATACATCACAGGCTGTTGAGAGCACCTTGATCATCTTGACTGGAGGTAAAACAAATGCATCCCCTGTTCCAACTGCACATGCATTATTCATTCCATCACAGGTGAACAGTGACTGGCTCAATTCTCTATACAGAGACAGAGAAATAAATGACAGCCATCATTTTGCATCATCAACCGTAATGTATCGATTACTTTTGGGATATAGGCTGCTTTCTACATATCATTAATCATGCCTATTATTGTGTTGTATTAACTGCTTACTGCTAGTTCATGATTTTCATTCATTTATCTATATATCCTCATCTTAAGTCCATATAACATGTTTATGCACAATCACATAAAATTATCAAATAATATCTAAAGGTTAAATGCAGTGAACAATGTCCTAGTGGTGGGCACACTTAACTGGCTAACACCTGGCCATCAACTTGCACAGATTTTTAGTCGGGAAGGAGCACACACCTAAGGACTGATCAAACTCTGTAACAACTTCAAGATCTGGCAGCAGATGGGCATGTAAATCCCGCGAGATCGCGCCAATTTTCTGTACAAAAACAAATGTGGATGCAACCGGCTGGCGTTGTTTAGCCTGTATCTATCCGTGTTTTACACTTCAATTTGCACTGAAAATAAAAAAGAGGAACAAAGTGAAGAGTTTGGGTGAGATCCCGGATGCAGACACATGGACAATATAACTGTACAGCTACAGAGGAACCTTAAATGTATCAGTCCTGTTGTGGTACATGTTTGAATTAAGTTAATGTTATAGAGGCTTTCATTCTTTTGCCAAAGGTCAGCCAGTTCTTCCTCCACATCTATTGTCCGGTAGAAATGAACAGTCCTTTATAATTACCATGATTGGGCCTTTACAACTGAGTCCGATCAGTCATCACGCCCCAGTACCATTCATAATCGGTGCAGCAGTCGTTAAGTGTGTGCCCACAAACAAAAACCTTCACCCATGTCAAACTAAACCTTACAGAAGTCATTTTTGCTGTTGTGTTCTTACCATCTTGAGCCTCATAGACCTTCTGCGCCCAGCTGCCCCTGCCCTGCACCTTCCACTGCGCTCTGTATTTTAGCACAGGGACGCCTCCTGTGGATTCAGGCTCCTCAAACTGGATCTGTGCTGTGGTGGAGAAGGGACTCACCTCGATGATGGATGGAGCTGATGGCACCACTGGTAAAGGGAAGAAATGCTGTGTGATTACAACAAAAACTGTAAGATTGCAGCAGGCTCCACTGCCAGACATTATTGTTCCCTTACAGACTGAGCTCCCAGCTCCTGATAGCTCCAGTGAATGTCGGAAAAATGCTTCAGCTTTCTATGAATCTTTCCAGAGAAAGCTATGATTTATGGCCTTAATGCTATTTCACTTGTACTGAATACATAGTCTCAACATTATTTCAGAAAATAAAAATGAAGGTAAGTAAAACATTTAAATGCTCCTATGATGAAGTGACTCACATACAAGCTGATCATAAGGAAATCATAAGGAAATATATGCTGGACAATTCCACAAGTAAAACCTTGAAGATCTCTTGATTTTGATAAACTGTTTGGATCCATACAAACACCTTGCAGACAATTTCTCTACATAATGTACAAAAATGAGTTGGTACTGAAGAAGATCCAGAAATCCTCTTGAAATTAAAGAGTTCTGTGACTACTACAAAAATATGTCCCTAAATTTATGAATTGGATTTGTAAAAAACAAAAAAACCTACTTGGCCTGTAGAGTACACAATTAAATGACAACTTATTCATCATTGATCAGAACAGCCTTACTTTGATCCTCCCACCACTGCACTGGCTATTTTAGATAAAATGACATTATTTAAAGCGGCATTAGAAAGATTTAGTGGCTTCAGAAACTGGGCAGGAGGGGTGAAGAGGAGCGGAGGGAGAAGAGGAGGGGATACTGTTTGAGTTTGTTTTCACTTCATTTCTCTCTTAATAGTCAAAAATTAGAGGGAGAAGTTAGTTAATGCAGCTTTAAACTGTTTAACCCATGAGACTGTCCAAATCCAAGTACTGTGGGTGAATTCACACACTCTGGTGTGAGCACAGTGGAGTGCTGAATCACTTTGATCTTAGAAATTAAAACGCACGCTGTAATTAAAGCGGCTGACCATGTTCTTCTCTGGCTGAAGAACGTGGTTTTTTCTGTTCATTTACTTCAGAATGTGGCTTAAGACTGTCTGTTAGGCCATTTGTCTAATGTGCTGATGAGTATAGTCTATGGTATCAGCTGGTGGTGATCTGATACTGTAATAAAATGTTGTGACTTTGATAAATTGTCTTTGACTTCATAGTACACGCAGCAGAACCTTGGATGTCCACAGTAATGTATTCTGTTTTACATTTCTTTTAACACTGCACTAAGTGAAAAGATCCCTTGATCCCTTGTATTTTCTAAACAACCAGAGGGAAGGAGCTTAAAACTATGGTTATGTTACCTTTTCATCCAAATTTATCATCCATCTAAACAAAGCCTCCTCTGTGTAATCTCACACTGTGGGAGATGTTTTAGCTTAATGTGTTTTGAATGTGAGTGAATAAATCGACTTCTGAAGTCTGGGGTCAGAAAAACTCTCCATTTATTGCAATTTCATTTTTGTGCTACAATGAAATGTACCTTAACTACTGCTTAGGTATCACTGATGTGGTTTTACACAGTTATTGTGAACGGGGGGGGGGGGGTTAGAATGACAGCACTGACCAGCCTGAATGAGGAGGAACTCCTTTGACTCGGTACCCATCTCATTTGAAGCAGTGCAGTTATAGCTCCCAAAGTCATTTTCAGACTCAGGGGTTATCTGGAGGAGCACAATAAAAAAGAAAACAGCAAATATATGAAGGGCAGTGTACCAAAACAGATGAACAAACTTGTGTGCCAAACACTCAGAAGGTGACCTTTTTGTTTGTCCATTAGAGTAGCCTATTTTTATTTGTTGCTCTGAGCTTTCCTGCTGCTGAATTATTCATCAGATTTTTTTCTACAATAGAGCTGAAAGAAAACCCTTCACTTCAAGCCTATGCTCATGAAATCTTGATGATACAAAGGGTCTATGTGCGTGTGTGTGTGGGAGGATATGTACCTGTAGGTAGCTGATCAAGGGAGTTCTGAAGATCTTAATGTTGGTAGTGTTGGAGTTGGGGAGCTGCAGTTCATCTCGCAGCCAAACAATAGACACATCACTGGGATTAGCCTTAACCTCACAGCTGATATTGGCTGTATTCCCCTCCCAGGTGTACACTACCACTTCACCTTGTATCTTAGGGGCATCTAGTGGAAAAAATACATTTAATACAGACTTTCTACCACAACACTTAAAAATCTGAGACACAGGGAAATACTTACACTGGACCTCCAGATACACTGGATGATCATCATCTCCGATGGCACTGCGCGCTGTGCAGAGATACTGACCAGCGTCTGTATACTTGACATACTTCAGAGTGAGGGAGGACACACGAGCGTCACTCCTCACCACCACATTTCCATCCAGACTCTAAATGGGAGCAGAAAATGACTTGGTTTAGGAAAAACAAACCATTGACATTATTTATTTTCCAGAGCCATATTGCACATTTACATCTACACAGCACATTTTGGTAGAAAGATACAGTATGTGGCCTGGAAAAAAAAAAGTGCTTTCATAAGGCGAACAGGCTTTACATTTCTGAAACAGGCACACCCTGCTCTTTAATGATTTTGAGGCGAGCAGGCTTTACATTTCTCAAACAGGCACACCCTGCTCTTTAATGATGTGGGAACATAAAGACACAGTTGACAGTACAGGGGAGCTAATCAATAATTGATGACAGAAGGCACTAAAAACCATCTAGAGCTGTTCACACAGAGAGCTTACCAACTTGTGAAATAAGCTGATGCATGACACTAGAAAGCATTACCTTACAGGCCACGCTTGCACTTTTATTTTGAAGACACTTAGGACTGAGTGTCATTGCACCCAGTCATATTTTTAGTAAACTAACATTTCCAGTTAATTACTTGGGGTATTTTTGTTGTATTCGTGTGCAGTACTGCACATTCAGCCCTTGCCACAGTTTCAGTGAAGGGCCAAGTCACATAGCACTTAAAAATCCAGAAATAACACATGGCTGGTTAATGAGATGTGTAAATGACCTTCCTGCTCTAGAAGTACCTGGTTTCATTAACTTGATATGCAGAGTTACAACATCCAAGCAGAAGTAGCTTCTCCACCTTCAGGGTGTTGTTGTGGATGCTGCTGTCGTGTGACACTAAACTGTCAGGGTGCAGAGTTTCAGACAGACTGAAATGTTCTTTTTAAAGAAATGTCTTCCCCATCGGGGCATTACTATTTAAAGCATTTATTATACAGACTCTAAACCTTTTTTTTCCACCACTAACAATGTCAGTTTGTTGTGTAGCAAATGTTATCTATGTCCTAGATGATCTTCTTCTCAATTTCATTTATGATTTGGGATGCGTTTTCACACTGTACTCATTCATACAGTAGGCTTTGGTGTTTTTGTGGATCGTTCCTTTTAACAAAGTGCTGTAGAACTTTATACCTAAGTCTATCTTTTGGCTGCTTTCAACAGTTTTGATCCAAGCTGCAAACAAAACAATAGCACGGATGCTTTTACACATATTGAATTAGGGCCCAGTCTGGGCAGCCATGTAAGAGAAACCCTTGTTATTTTGTATTCAAATTCAACAGACAAAGCATGTCTGGGGCATTCATTATGTATGGTGGGTAGCGGGACCTGGGAGACTTGCATAACACGCTACCCTTTCATTGTGACCCCTGTGCAGAGTGGTCTCTCTCTACCCATGTGGTAGTGCTTCTGACTCCTGCATCTGTACCGCACTGTGCACAACCATGAAGCTAGCTTCAGTACGGAGTCCTTTTTCATTTTGTGTGCCAACTGTTCTGGAGAATGCAGCCTAAAAATGTCACCAAAGCCTGAAAACTTGAACAGATCTCAGGGGCTACAGCCACTCATTCCCTATATGAAACGCATAATGAATATTATCATCTACTAGAGGAAAATTATGTGCTCACTGCAGTTTAATATTGTGATTCATTAATGTTTCATAACAGTGGATTTTCAGCATTCATGCACACAAGTGGCTGTCTATTGGACGTCTATTGTTAACGCTACCTTATCTTACCAATAGGAATAAAACCACTTTACATGTCTGTATAAAACAGATGAGGGAAGAATATAGAGACTTTCAGATATAAGCCCTTCTAATAAAACAAACTACACTGACAGCTGAGGCCTCCAACAGCTTCTTTGAGGAGAGAGACAGTGCTGGCACATCAGAGCAGAAAATTGAGAATACACCGAGGACATGTTTAATTCGTGTCTCACTAAACCTTAACTGGCCCAGCATACAAATGTACCTTCCCTTCCGCAGCTTGTCAAATGAACCACATCTGCATCTGCAACAAAACATGTTCATATTGCTTCATGCTCATCCCCTGTGTGGTTCACAGTGGAACGTCTTGTAGAGAGGACACTGATCGATTCAGAGTGCAGGTGGACCTTACACCATATTCTGTTGTGAAGTCAGGATTAATCACTGCCTGAGTCACTAGTGTAAACCAGTGCACTCACAACATGAAACTGCAAATGTGCTGCTGAGATACAGTTTCAGACAACTGAAGAACTAGAGCTAGCTGATTAAAATGTGGTTCAGAAAACAAAGTACCATGGCATAGCGAAAGGGAACATAGGGAAAGTGTGGCATTTGCTTGAGCTTATCTTTATCCTTAAAAAACACAGAAGCTTAGGTTGCTGGGATGTGCTTAGTTGAGCTCTTTTGGACTGGCTGATTTTTGTACAATCAGCTCATCAGTAAATGTATAAAATTATCCATTTTATCCATACTTTCAAGGTAAGAGATATTAGTTCTGATGCAACCACGTGTAAATGAGTTTGACACAAACCTAGTAATTACTGTCAGCATATGTGATATGAATGGTTCCTTCTCACTTCCTGTAGTGAGTACTCAGTGATGAGGGTTTTCATTCTAAAGTTTCTGTAATGAATGCATGTCAGCTATCAATATTTAGCGATTGTTGGTTCCCATTCCCAAAGCTATTACAGAACAGAGGAAAAGAAAAAGAACATTCTACTTGATGTGCAGTGCTCCCTGCAATTTGAAAAATAAATAGCAAGGCTATTTGAGGAATCAAATGGTCTAAAAATACATACTGTATTTAACTTCCTGTCAAAGTATAAATAACAATGGCAACCCTAATATCTGATCTTGCACCTGAAACAGTGGGCTGATCACTGATGACATACTTCGGGAAAGCACAAACTCCTGCCCAAAGCCAAAAAATGACTCTGTACCAGCTCTGTCTGCTAGTAGGGTGCGCTCAGGACTAATATTGGAATTGACAAAGTGGTATTTCTCGCCAATTTTCTCACATATGTAAAACACATATTCGATATTGAAGAAAGGCTTATGTGGGCAGCTCTTTCGTTTGCCAATTTTCACTTTCTCTCAGGAACAGTGCCTGGCTGTGATCCTCTGGGCTGCTGCACAAAGACATCTTTCATTTTCTCTTATATGCAACTAGAGAAAACTATTTTCTAATGTCAAAAATACATGTCGAAGTCATAATCAAGATTTGGCAATGAACTGAGTGAGATCTGGAGATGAGTGTGGGAGGACAGAGGGATCTGAGAAGTGTGTGTTTTACCTCAGCAAAATCAGCTTTTTAAGAGAAAACAGGTTGACACGATGCATCTAACAGATGCTATAAAAAGTAATTATCAAAATCATATTTGAGCGGCTAAACGTCTTATGTTGTTCTATGTTCACACAGGCTAGGCTAAAAATTCAACAAGAGTAACTAAGCTATACCATGTTAAGTTTATATGGAACTCATACGAGTAAAACAAAAAGTTGGAGAGACTTGCACTGCCTTGATTGGCTACTGCATCTTTCTCATGGAGTTTTCTCTCCCTGACCTGTATTTGTTCGAGAACTTTGATCTGTATCCGTCCAAAATTGAATTAGACTCCCCTGACATGAAAGATGGATGGGTGTAGGAAAAAGTCATGCATTTAGAATACCTTATGCTGCTCGGGCCGAGTCCATGATGCCTGTAGAAGACAGAGACAGAACAACAAACAAAAAGCAAAGCAATCCTTAGAAAGTAATCCTTATCCAGGCCAAGCTGGAATGCTCAACATTACATGTAGGCATTACATGTCCAGTTCATTTTCCATGCATCCATAGTACCCTGAGCTAAAAATCTGATTTTGATCAAACTTAGCAGACGCAATATAGCAAATGCTTTGGATTTCCCTTCCCAACAAGTCTTTTATGTGACAATAAAAGCTTTCCTTTAAAGGTACATTTCTGGGGGATTTGGGTAGGTGTCAATTTCTGTTCTGCACACCGAACGAGACTGCTTCTAAGCCTAAGACAAGTAAGTCTGCGGGCATAGCACAGATGCTTACGGATAAAAAAAGTTATTGGTTTATAAAGAAGGGTGACTCCATTTCATTGCAACTGCAGAGATTTGTCGGCCTGTTAGGCAAAGTGGTGCGGCAATTATCGAGTCACGATCCATTTATGATGCTTGAAGCAATAACTGTTGTTTTTACTCAAGCGTATAAAAAGTATGTCATACATCAAGAAACAACAGTTAGTACCCTAGTTGAGAGTCATAGAGCGGTACTTGCTGTGTTTCACAATAAGTAAATATGATTTTAAAATAAACAGTTTTGCTACAGCTCTTTCTACACCCCATGTGAGACCTATGAGGAGGTCTGCCTACAGGTGCACTGTGGTGACTAATTTTGCTAGTCTGATGTTCTGCTCTGAATATCAACAGTACTTTTAATATAGTCCAAGAAGTGCTTATTTCATTGTTATGCTCTGATTTTATTCCAAGGTTCAAATAAACAAAAATGTGTGTTGCTGAATTTGTCCTACAATATTCTTTAAAGATAAAAAGGCACTTCTCCCTATCAGTAGATGTTTGTATTATATGAATGGATGCACTAAAGATGTAATAACTGACTAAAACTATTCAATTTAAATAATAACTAGGACTCGTTTTCCAGGTTTATCCCTCGCTGCCTCTCAATATTGTCATGTAGTGAAAACAATGGTCGTACTCAGGCATCGCACTTCAGTTCTTATGTTGGTCTCATATACAGTACACACTGCAGACTGTATGTTTAGAAAATTATGGCAACTACTGAAGTACAATATTCATAAAAACACCAAAAGCACATTTTGTTGATTGTTTTACTGGGATCCAAGTTAGTTTGAGTTGCTGAACAAATACAATCCCATATAACAAGACTGATCACATCTCCCACTCTACTAAATACAGTAAACTAATGTATTATTTTTTAACAAATACATCAGAACGCACAGAATCAAGCTTCTGGATGATGAACAAATCCTTTGAACTGCACTAGACAACATGCTACTGAATGCCAAGTTAAATCACAATGATCACAAAGCCCACAAGACAAAAGGCTTTGTGGAAAGCATGCTCTATGGATTTTATGATGCTGAGGAGAAGATGTTAAGCATGCTGATGGGATATGATGGCCCACGTAGCGAAAAGGTACTGAAGCATAACAAGCAAAATGATAAACAGCTATTTCATCAGGTGCCACAGCAAGAACATGTCTAGTAAACGAAAGCAATCTGCCAGAGTAATTGTAGGGTGAAACAAACCACCAGAGTTCACACGTAAAGTCCGCCCTATATTATCCACTCATAATCATAGCAGGATGTTTATAAATAATGCAGAGAACATTTGGTGTGCTTGAATTCAAGCAGCTAAAATCACTGACAAGCCTCATTCACCATTTACTATGGAAAAAAGCAAAACAAAGAAGGTAAAGAGAGGAGACAGCAAAATCTATGTAAAGCATACTGTGTGAGTGTAATTTCACTGTGTACGTCGTCGACTGTCACAGTAAACACAGTGTGCACCGTACATCATTACAAACAGCAGTTGGCTGCATTTCACCACGGTGCCGAGAAAAGGCAGTAGCCCAATTAAAACAAGCAACCTAATAGTCTGGAACATCTCCACCTCGTTTGCAGCGTTGCCTGTGCGGTAAGCCAGCTGACAAGCATCACCGTCATATCTGTGACAGGTGTTTAAGACAAAGGGACACTGAACAACAGCAGATGTGAGTGTGTAAAGCGAAAGACACCGTATCACAATCACCTCTCCAAGCAAATGCGCACAGCACTATGGTGACGGTTCCCTTGGGACTTCTCATTTTTCCAGCCCATTGTTATTCCCTTTATAGAGTTATTCTCACTCTTTGTACCGACTTAAATTGTAATGTCACTGTGAAGGCACAGACATACTAAGACAAACACATACAGTAAATGTTCAGAAGCTTGACGGTGTTTTCTTCACTGGGTGACGCCTGACTGAAACTGATGACTGTGCATAGTCACCGTCATGTGTAATTAACTGCTGAGCCTTGGAACCACTGCCAGTATGTCGCAAAAAACTGACTAGCATTTTAGCAAAGAACCCCTCACATCACGCCACTACCGAGCTAGCAGACATGCTGTCGTAAATAAGTAGCTATTGTGTTTGGAGGAAGCAACGCTCTCTGCATTGGCACAAGATGTGGCCAGCATTCCTCAGTGTGAGCTGCTCTGCCTCCACTGCTACCACACAACATTAATTACAAATTTTCTTTAAGCATCTCATTACTTACAAAATAATCATACATTTCTTTTCTGAAGTCTTTAATTTCTAACTGGTGAAACTTTTTACAAAAACACACATATCCCTCAAAATACTGCCATAGGATTACAGCTTCAAAACCCTGCATCATGCAGAATGCTTACTACTGTACGTATTTACATAAGCAAAGTGTTCATTATGTAGATAATGTACGACGCACGGAAAAATACTTCATTTACATTTCAGTAATTAAACAGACACCCTTATCTACTGTAGAGCGACTTGCAGCAAATGTATTCAAAGCACTGAAACAGCCCAATACCTCATGTCAAACTGATCAAAGCTTTAAAATAAATATATTAAAACTTAATTTTAATTGCTATATGACCAGAAACTAAGCTATCCCCAGATTGAATTTGAAACATAATTGTAAGCAGGCACCCACCCACGAGTGTAAAGTGCAACACGTTTTTGAAGATACTACTTTTATCCTGCCTTTTTCTGTACAGGACCACATTTATATTGCATGATACAGTAATCTCCTTCAATCCCCACATTATGCATCTCTTTGCTCTGGGTTATCAGACAATGCTTTTGTCTGCTGACACTGAAGACTTTGTGTAGGAGGCTATTCAGAAGGAATTAGCTTGTCCTCATGTTAACCTTTAAAACTCAAGACCACAGCAGAACGAGAACAGGGTCAAGCGAAGCCAGATGCAGATTTGAATGGCTAATCTGACACAAAATATCAGATCTAACACAGACCGTCTTGGTTTATTACAAGACTGTATCTGCAAGACAACTCTAACCCTGATCATGTTGCTCAAATATACAAAGTAATACTGTAGAGTATTCAGTATACAATAATTCTATATCTTGAGCTGCAGAGGCCATCACCTCTGTCTGCTGCATTGCAGTTCTCCTGCTAAAGATTAAGATAACATAATTAAAACCTTTACCCTATGCTCTTTTGTTTTTGTACTTTTGTGTTTAATAGTTACTCTACTGAAGCTGTCAGCTATAAAGTACATATGAGTCAAAAGGCTAAATGTTACTTACAGTTACTCTGTGGAGTGACCACTGGTAAGATTATGGAAAAACATTTTTTACATATGGGTCCAAATTTTGTTTGTCCTGCTGTACATGCATGCAGGCACCGTGATACAAATTCCTGATAATGGTTTCACTCTATTCAGGTGGCCGAGATCTTGCAGCAAAAGCAGGGAAGAAGAAGAAGAGTCCTAGAAAGCAAACATGGATATCAACAATGAAGATGCTGAAAAAAGTGTAGAAAAGATCATCTGGGCTTGGTTTTAGGTGGAGGACATTTCACCTCTAATCCAAAAGACTTCATCAGTTCTGTCCGACTGGTGGTGAGCAGGAGGTATTTAGTCCCCTGGGTGGTGTTTCAGTCCTTCGATGGCCAACAATGTCCCTTAATGACTGATATGTTGTGGTTCCAGTCTTTTGGTTGCCAACAATGTCCTCTAGCGACTGAGTCATTATAGTCCGCTATCGGTGAGCGTTGTTACCTGTCTTTGAACCCTAACCTGTGGACCGACGCCTATCGTCCTGATGTGAATTAGGGTGGGAATGTTTGGGCCGAGATTTCAAAAAAGGATTGTAGATGGATGACAAGTTGTGTCTTAGTCCACCACCCCTATTTAGTGAGGGGTGTTCTATTTTTACAAAAATAGCTTTCTTGACTCCTCTCTCAAACCAGCGATGTTCTCTGGAGAGGATCTGGACTTCACTGTCCTCAAAAGAATGTCCTTTGTCCTTCAGGTGGAGGTGGACTGCTGACTCTGGTCCACTTGAGTTGGCCCTCCTGTGTTGGGCCATGCGTTTGTGAAGCGGCTGCTTAGTTTCACCAATGTACAAGTCGTTACACCAATGTACAAGTCATTATACTCCTGACTACACCTAATGGCATACACCACATCACTCTTCTCTGATAAACCAGCCACATAAGGGATGCCAGTGTTATCCCTTCTTGTTTCTGGTTTCTCCCTGTTGGTGTTGGACCTCTTCCTCACTTTGGTGAAGGCCCACTTGGGGTATCCACAAGCCCTAAGGGAGTTCTAGATGTGTAGTTTCTCCTTCTTGGCCCCTTCTGCAGTTGTGGGCACTTCCTCTGCCCTGTGATTTAAAGTTCTGATGACTCCCAGTTTGTGTTGAAGTGGATGGTGTGAGTCAAAAAGCAGGTATTGGTCCGTGTGTGTAGGTTTCCAATATACTTCAACCTTCAGGCTTCTGTCCCCTCCCAAATCAGAAAGGCCAGAAAGTTATCTCTGGCATCCTCACAAATGAATTTGATGTTGTCATCCACAGAGTTGATATGTTTGGTGAAAGCCTCTACCTCCTGGGTCCTGATTTTAACCCATGTGTCATCCACGTAGCAGAACCAGTGGCTGGGAGCGGTACCAGTGAAGGAAGACAGGGCTTTCTCCTCAATTTGTTCCACTCAGACAGTGTGCTATTCACAAGCAGCATCAGCTGAAGTGAGCCAGGCCTCACAGCAAGAGATCTCAGAAATGCTACAATCAAGAGTTGGTTTGCATGTGGCTGGAAATGGTCACAGAACAAGCTGCGTGACGCAGCAGGACAATGACCCTAAACATCGAAGTAAATCTACTACAGAATGGCTTCAGAGAGAGCCTCTGTGGTGGGGATGCAAGTGAATAAGGATGTGACATCATATGAGACCATGGTCTCCTCCTGGTCCAGCTGCAGTTGTCTCCCAGTGAAGTCCTATTATGTGGTGTTGTGCGTTTTCCACCAAAGGAGCCAGGATGGTGCCCACGTGCTTGGCAATGTTGTAAGTCACAGAGCTGATGCTGCTGACGATGGGTCTGAACGGGCCTCCTTCCTTGTGTATTTTGGGTAGGCCATAAAGGCAAGGGATGGCCTCCCCAGGGTATAGTCTGTAGAATAGTCGCCGGTCGATAACTCCCTCCTTTTCCGCTTACTATGACCTGGATGACTGAGAATTTGCACGGACATGTTGCTACTCAACAATAAAGATGCAAAGCTTTTAAAGAAAAATCGACTTTGCAGATATTCCATAAGGAAGATAAAGAACTCAACATATTTGTAAACCTCAAAGATAACACACATGTTGAGTGAATACAACCAAATGAATAACACAAACTTCATTTACTCCACAAGGCTCCTTTAATACTCTAATTGGAGAAGTTTTTTAGGATTGTTTGAGGCTGGTTTCTCACTTTCATAATGGAGGCTAGCCAAAACAACATGAACATATACAAATGCTTTGTGAGGGTTAGTTTCTGAGGTCGTTTTCAAAGTTGGTATCCTTCAAATTAAAGTATGGACTGAGTATTGAACCATGAAAAGTAGTTAGTCCCTCTCAAATGCAAATTGTGTAACTGACCGACTGTGTAATGTGCTGTAGATTATTCAATTAACTGTTGTTGTGGTGAAAGTGCAATTCATCATCTTACTGTACACTGAGGATGATGAAGCTGAAACTGATGAAAATGCCACTGTGTTCCTACACTACAAAGTCACAGTCCACAGTGTCAGCTGGGACAGATAAACTTAATATCAAGTTTTTACTAGGTTTTTAATGTAAAACAGAGCATCACAACTGTTTTTCATGAAACAAAATTAGATAGAAGAAAATGTGGAGTTTTTGTAAAACTTGGACTATTAGACCTTAAGTGGTATTTTTGACATTATTCTGAATTGTCTTCTATTATCCAACTGAACTTCAGGTCTGACAATAAATCACTGATATGTGAGATACAACAAAATACTGTGTGAAAATCAAACAAATTTGTGTTATCACTGGGCTCTGCATAAATGCCGAATGTAAAGTTTGTAATATACTGCAAATCAAGTTCTTCAAACAAGACAAATGAAACGGGCTGGCCAGCTACAGTAGGAGCCAAAGACTGGAAACACATTCAGATAACCTGCTAATTAATTCATCATCACCCCATATCTAAAATGGCACAGTACAGATCAGGACTGGTGTTCTGACATTACAATCATCCCTATATATTAATATCAAATACATTTTTGTAAAATGCTACTCTTAACATCCTTCAAAGTTTGTTCAAAAAACTGTAAAGTGACTTAACAGCCACATCGTTTTCAATTCACCATGTCCACCCCAAGTGAATGCTCCTTCACTGGTCCTACGCATTCTAGATGAAATACAGCTGTTATGATGATTACAGGCAGGATGGCAGACAGACATCAGATGAAGAAGCAAAACAAGACAATAAAACAATTAGCAGCCACTTCCACATGCATTGATAATGCCCCACCAAGGAAATCATTTCCCCCGCTTATGAGAATCAGAGCTCTAAAGGACAACATAAGCAACCAGCATTTACAGGACTGACTAAGGCTGCTAATCGTTTCTTTGAAGACAGCTGTGAAGAGATGCCACAGATCATACTGCAGACTGAAGTGCAAAACGCATTGCCACCATAGCACAGCTGTGCATCACATAACCTGTGTCATGTGACGCTCCATGGTGTAGCATGTCAGCAACTGCACAGTGCAGAAAGTGTGTGGGTAATGCTTATTATGCTAAGAAAACGCCTCTGTGTTTTCATTTCCTGCAGAGTCTATCCTCATGCCTACAGCACAGCTTGTTAGGCAATGTCTTTCATGACATGCTGTAATGGTGTGACGGTGGGATGTAGAGTTCTCACTGTTAATCTACCCCTTATGACAGCTTTAAGACCACAAAAGAAGTCGATTTGTCGCTGACAGAAGAAGCCGAGGTCAAGCAGCTAGGAGGCGTATTCTGCAAAAAACTGCTGCTTCTCATGGGACATCTACACTGGATAGAAGGACTGAGATGTAAAGTGTTAGTGTGCAGTGTGTCCGTGTGGGCTTGTGAGCTTCGCTACTGAGAGTTTGTGGAGTTAAAAAGGAAAAAAATAGGCTTGTCGTGACATGCATCATAAGGTAGTAGCATGTTTTGCACTTAAAGGCAGGCTCCACTCAGAATCAGTTTTTGAATATCAGTCAGCTGTGTGGCTGTGAAAAGCTCCTATTTCTGTTCCTCACAGTGCACAGTGCCTGTAGCCTGCTCAAATTCAAGTCAGATACAATAGATTCCAATAGAGACCGGTTTTCACAGTTGTAAAAGTCCCCATTAAACTTCTTCTTGCAGCATAATCCCTTTCTTCACTGCCCACCTCTATGATCGGTATTCAAACACTCACATTTTCACTTTAGTCTGCAGGGGATGAGAGTTGGATACTCAAAAGATAGATTGTAGTTGGAGCAATTTTACCCTCAATTTGAAAGTGATACTGACAAATGTTAGAGAATCTACAATATTATGAAGGTGACAGACAGACAGAGCTGGGCTTGAATCCAGGCAACATCATGGTATGATGGAAAGTTTGGAATGATCAGGCAGCAGGGACACAGAAATGGTCTTTCCATTTTATTAGGTTATTAACCAGATTTTCACCTGATAAGCTCTAGACTTTCTATCACAGGATCAGTGAAGTTTTTCAGGCTATATTTGGAAAGCAATACAATAGTGTAATCAATTTCATCAACTCCGATGAGATCATTAGTTGGGGTTTTCAAGAAACAGCTGGGAAATTATCAGTAAAAATTGATTATTTGATTTCACTAGGGGTTTTGTCAAATCTGGAGGCATACTTTGCAACACCACTCTAGTACATTTCTGTGCCATGCAGATTTCATACCTGATAGATCCTGTTTAGATGTGCCTGTAAGAAGAAAATGTAGTGCATGTAATGGACTGGCTCCAGAATATCTCCAAGACCCACAGTGCATCTCTGAAGCATTTTCCCCCTCATTACCTCTTAACTGTGGCAAGACACCAAGACCTTGAAGAATCAGGCCATGTGGGCAATAGAAGAATGAAGAGTACCAATCTGGTATTCATTGGTTTTTATGGTTTGCACATTGAAAGTTATAGAGGATATTACCACAAAAAGCTACAGGAATATCAAGTATGTAATGAAGAGTAAAAAGCTTGCTAAATGCATCGTCGAAACAAATGTAAAATATGGCGGCAAAACAACCGTTGATAAAAAAAATTGTAATTATAACACTTTGGTGTAAAAACCTTTCAACCACAAATATGATCAGAATAATGGAAATAGTGATTGAAAATACAAAAAAAAAACTCTTGATCATTCAAGTGCTCATTCTAGCAAATACAATGAAAAGCAGATGATGTTTAATTATTGCCTCAAATTACATACTCCTTTTAGAAATGTTCTAATTGGGTTTTTGAGGCAGACTGTTTTGGCATTTGGGAAAACTCAAGTCACATTTAAGTGCAGTCTACATTATTGGCTGAGTATGGCTGAACTAATGACATGGGGTCCACTGGGCCATCTCCATGGAGCTGCTCATTTAGGAGAAATAATCAGCAGCCCATAAACCTTGCTGAGGGCCTTTCACAGTGATACAGCACAAGTCCTCTGCACCACCTGCACATGATCAATATACTCCTTGAATTTAGGGTAAAGGTATTCGGTCCTTCTCTTGAGACACCAGTGTCCTGCAGGTTTGTGTTCCTCCCTAGGGGTTACTAGTCACTGTGTCCCAGTTTCACATCACATACCATAAAGTATACCATGAGAAATGTAGTGTACAAGAAATGTAGCACCACAAATTGCAGAAAATATTTTAAAAATCACATTCCATACTGACTATTTTCTGTGCTGTCACCAGACACAATGGACCACCATCTATTACTGCTTCAGTGTACAATTTTTAGAATTAATGCACAGTATGCCTGGGACACAGATGGCACCAGTCTACTTTAGGCCAGGTGTGGTTCATTAACTGCAGGAGGAAAGATGCTTGCTGAACACCAGCCACTGAGGACCAAAGCTGAGCAGGGCTTAGAGATTTGGCTGCTATTATTTTACCTGTTCTCCTTCAGTGAAGACACGCTCACCATAGCTCCAGCTGATGGTGGGAGTTGGATCTCCTGAAGCCTCACAAGTCAGAGTTACCTGCTCATCCATCTCTGATGTGGTCTGGTTTACAATGTATGTGATCTTAGGTTTGACTGTAAAACAAACAAACAAAAAAAAAATAAAAAAACACAGTCATCACGACTGCACTGGCAAAACAAGAACGCCAGGTGGTTTGGCAGCACATGTACAATAAGTAAAAGAGCAGCTCAGAGGCTTTGAGATGAGTTCAAAGGGAGGCTGACGATGAGCAGCTTGACAGGTGAATTATTATGCCAGCAAAACTGTATCTGAGCTTTTCCCATCCTGGCAGCAGCAAAGCTGTGATAACAATGTGGGGATCCAAACTTAATTCATGTTGCAGTTTATTTAACCTATCTGAAAGGAATAGGTTTACGTTTCTGTTTACATTGGAGCAAACCACCCAGTTACAGTAAACCTGAGCTAACCTGACAGCGCAGCAGGGTGCCACAACTGTGATGTCAGCAAAGCGAAGCAAACTGAAGAGCTACTTTTAAAGCACGACGATGTGCATACTGTAACTCTGTGCTTTCATATTTACCATTTCACTCCATGAAGGATGAATTCATGGATTAGACAATAGATTTGCTACATATCAGCCTATTAAATATGGAGCACACATAATGTACAACAACTGAAGCCTCATGTTACAAAGCTGTCATCTCAACTGATAATTATTAAATGAGCAATGTCTTGTCATGTTTTTATTTCATGCAACAATTTGTATTTATAGCCAGGAGTGTCAAAAACTGAGCAGTGTCACTTTTACA